ATAGTGCATAGTGAAATTATCATTACTTGCAGATGACATAATACTCTACATAGAAGACTGTGGGGGAAGGACTGTGATTGCTAATGAACTGATTACTGATGGTCAGCTTATGATCCACAGCCGTGCTGAGTGCACGTGGTGTGGGGTGTGGGAGGCTCGCCCCAGGATGGTTCCCATCAGCTGAGAGGCAGACATCGAAAGGGATAATGAATTTCCCTTGTTGGTCTGAGTTACATTCTGGGTTCTAATAAAAGGCAATTGAGATGGGTGATCGGGGCTGCTGCAGTCCCGGAGGCTGTGGGCCCCCTGATCCCAGACTTTTGCCTCTCCTGTTCTTCTTACTGTTTACCTTTTCTTATTCATTCGTGGGCACCTCATTCTCGGGACCTGTCGCTACAGATAGTACCAACAGAAGACCTCAAAAATTCCACCAAAAGACTTCTAGACTTAAAAACCAAATTCAGTTGTGTAGCTAAATATGAAGTCAACACTCAAAAATGAATAGCATTCTTGTACATAAATAACTCACTGAGAGAGAAATTAGGGAAACCACACCTTTCACAATAGCATTGAAAAAAATGAAATACATAGAAATCAATCTAGCAAAGGAAATATAAGATTTTTAACATTGAAAACTGCAGTACTCTGAAAAAGAAGACCAAAGAAGATATCAGAAAAATGGAAAGATACCTCTTGCTCTTGGGTAGGAAGAACCAACATAGTCAAAATGGCCATACTTCCAAAACTGTTACACAGATTCAATGCAATCCCAATCAAAATACCAATAGCATACCTCACAGAATTAGAGAAAATAATCCTAAAATTTATTTGGAACTAGAAGAGACATGAAATAGTAAAAAAAATTCTGGGCAACAAAGGCAAGGAAGGATGCATCACAATCCCTGACTTGAAAGTTGTACTACACTACAAAGCAACTATAATAAAACCAGCATGGTACTGACAGAAAGAAAAATAGATCTGAGGCTCAATGGAACAGATTAGAAGATGCAGAAACAAGTCCAAACACACTCAGCCACCTTATCTTCGACAAAGGGGCCAAACATATTCACTAGAAGAAAGATAGCCTCTTTAATAAGTAGTGCTGTAAAAACTGGCTTTCTCCATGCCCAAGACTAAAACTAGATCCCTGCCTCTCACCACGCACTAACAAAATGGGTCAAAAATCTAAATATTACAACAGAAACTCTAAATGTGTTAGAAGCGAGATTAGGTAGAGTTCTTCAAGACACAGGTGTAGGCGAAGACTTTATGGACAAAACCCTGATCGCACTGGAAATGTTAACAATCAGCAAGTGGGATCTCATGTAATTAAAAAGCTTTTGCACAGCAAAAGAAATTATGAACAGAGTGAAAAGACAGTCCACAGAGTGACAAAAATTTTTGGCAGCTGTTCCTCAGACAAAGGACTAATACGTAGAATACACAGAGAACTAAAAAAAAATCATACCCCCCCCAAATCTAAAGAGCCAGTCCCAAAAGAGGAATCTGAAAGGAATAGACACTTCTCAGATGAAGTAGAAATGGCAAAGAAATATATGAAAAGGTGTTTAAGATCATTGGTCATTCGAGAGATGCAAATTCACACTGAGATTCCATCTAATCCCAGAAATAATGGCTATCATCAAGAAATCAACCAATAACAAATGCTAGTGGGGCTGTGGGGAAAAAGGAACCCTTCTCCACTGTTGGTGGGAACGTAGACTGCTGCATCCACTGTGGAAATCAGTGTGGAGATTCCTCAAACAACTAGGATTAGAGGTCCCATTTGATGCAGTTGTGCCCCTTCTTGGCATCTTCCAGAAAGAATTAAAAGAAATCATAACAGTGATTTATGCACATCCATGTTTACAACAGCACAGTTTGTAATGGTTAAATCTTGAAAATAGCCCAAATATCCATCAACTGATAAAAAGATGTGTTTTTTAAAAATACAATGGAGTGCTACCCAGCTATAAAGAAGGATAAACTTGAGACATTTGTAGGTAAGTGGATGGATCTTGAAACCCGATTGGATACCCATCCGTAAATACCACATTTTCTAAAAACAAAACAAAACAAAACAAAGCACATTTTCTGGTATGAGAAACTGAAAATGTAAATAAGGATCAAAATATATAATCGATATTGTGAAATAGGAAGAAAATGTTCAAATGGGAAGGGGAACTAGGATGGGGTGAGGGGGAAAGGAAGGAAAGCAATGGAAGAAAACCAGAGAATACAAGGAAAAAAATGAAAACAAAACTTTTGTAAATAAGGAGGTGAAGAGGGGTTGAAGGGAGGTTTGGAGAATGGGAAAAAAAAATCAAGATATGTCATGTACAGGTACAAGTTCCCAATGATGAATGTGATCATGATGTAAACTAAAATGTACCAGTAATCCAAATTAATTAAAAATAGCTGGGTGTGGTGGCACACGCCTGTAATCCCAGCACTCAGGAAGCTGAGTCAGGAGGATCATTGTGAGTTTGAGACCAGCCTGGGCTACAACGTGAGCTCAAGGCCAGCCTGAACTGCATAGCGAGATCTGTCTCAAAAAGACAAATACATACACACACACACACACACACACACACACACAGGCCCATCTTTTTATTCCTATTTTCACCAAGCTGCAGCCCATATCAAAGCGAGAGGTAAGGCAGGAGTCAGTTATCTTCTTTGGGCTGTGCAGGTTCATGAAGGACAAAGAGGTTCTGTCTGGTCGGGAGAAATATTAGCAAGCTGTTTGAAGAGGGAGGATGTTTTCAGCCACTCATGACCTTACGAAGCCTGACTGGACAAAAATAATTGTGGATGCTTGACGGAGGGCCCTTGGGGAGACATCAGGCATCACAACATCCCACCTGCGTGGAAGTGGCAGGACTATTCCTGAAATTTTATGTCTTTAAGCAACATCTGCCTGAGCCTCTCATCCCTCAGTGTCTGATAACATTTTATTATTTCCATCTACTCACCTTTTTTTACATTCTTCATATTAGTGAAATCTCGTAGTGTTTCAGTTAGCACGGTGTCCACCAATTTCATCCATACTGTGGCAAATGAACAGTGTTCCCCCTTTAAAGGCAAAATAATATCCCATTGTATATATACCTTGTTTTCTTTATCCCTTCATTCACTGACGAGCACTTAGGTTGATTCCATAGCTTGGCTATTTGAATAGTTGTATTGAGTATGATAGTGCAGGTGTCTCTACAACACACTGATTTCATTTCCTTTTAGGTTATTTTGTGACCTAGCAAATGGTCTGGATATGACTTCTGTACCATGGTTTGTTGACTCTTGCTTTAGAGAAAGGGTATGTGCTGCTCTGTTGAGAATGCATTCTAGGAATCAAAAGTGGGCAGAAGGAGGCCAGGTGAAAAGCTGTAACAATTGTATATACATTAGAAATCCTGTTGAAGACCAGAGCAGGTACCAATTAAAGTCATGGAAATAGATGAGCGCATCTAGAAATTGAGCACACAGAGGAATGATCTTCATCAGTAGTCAGGGAAATGCAAACAAAATCACATTGAGATACTACTACACACCTGTTGGGATAGCTGTTTCCCAAAAGACTTAAGATAGCTAGAATTGGTCAGGTTGTGGAGAAAGGGGAACCCTTGAGCTCTGTTAGTGGGAATGTAAATTAGTGCTCCCACTATGGAATACAGTATGGAGGCAAAGTGTATAGAACTGAAGATCACAGACAAGCACTGTATTATCTTGCTGTGGAATCTTTTTTTAAAATGTATAATACTGTACACAGAGATAGTGAACCAAACAGTGGGTACCAGGGTCAGGGCAGGGTGGTGGGATGGACAGGTATACGTCAAAGATACAAAGCAGCAGGTATGGAGGGTAAACAAATCTAAAGACCTGATATATAATATGAGGATTATAGATAATAAAATTGTATTGTGTGCAGGTGTTTGTTAAATAGACTGATTTTAGCTGGTCTTATAACTAGAAAGTAAGTTTGTGAAATGACGGATCATTAGTTTCACTGCAGTAACCATTTGACTATGTGTACCCTATAACATCATGTTTTAACCTTGTTGCTTTTGAAAAAAGAAAGTAATCAACTCTTTTCAAAGCTCCTTGAGGTCAAATGAAATGAAGGCTGAAAAGTTAACACTAGTATTAGGTGTCGGCATGATCAAAATGGTTTTATTGAAGCCATAGTAGAAAAGTCTGCATGGAGTGGATTTGAGAGAATGGGACAGAGGACTGTGGTGGCAGCAATTTTAGACAACCCTGAAGTTGTTTTGCAATAAAAGAGGCCAAAGAAAAGGGAAGGTGGCTGGAGAAGAATTGCAGTCTAGGGGAACTCTTTTCAGCAGTGGTTAATAATTATAGGATATTTGTGTACAGCAGTGAACAAACTAGAGTCTCTGCCCTCGTGGAGCTTGTGCTTTGTTTTCTTTTGTTCAGTGCAAGGTGGAGGCAGAAATAGACAATAATAAATCAAATAATGATATTAAACTGGCCATTAGATATAGCCACTCAGATGTCATGTAAGGAGGCTGTTTGTTAGCACTGAAAGCTCTAAAAGATTCACCATCACTGATACAGACATTTCACATTCAACAAAATGCCATTATTTCCACCCTCCCACCACCTTTTTCTCTGTTCCTCTTTCTTGTTTTCACGTCATTAAAAATGCCAGTCACTGTCTGCCGAGGTCTTTCAGGACAGTATCCTACCCTCATCCCCTGCAACCACTCTGTCCCCTAACTCAGTCCATCAGCACAACCATCTTTAAAAACTCTCCCTGAGTTTTAGGCTATTCTGTGACCTAGCAAAACCACAGACTCAGTAAGTGGTGCAGACAAGATTTGATTTGCTTATGTCATGCTCCGTTTGGGGCTGGCTTTCTATAAGAGGTAGGAAGGAGCTGGCTCATCGGAAGGTAAGGAGGGTCTGAACATCATCAGAAATGGATGTTGTGTGCCTCTGACAGTCTGTCAGCTTATCTGATGTTGGTTTGATTTTTGTAGGTGTACTGGTTTCATATTCCAGAAGGTTGGAAAGTTGGCTGCGACAGCTGTTGGAGGTGGATTTTTTCTCCTTCAGGTCTGTATATGAAATGTTCTTAGCTGTTTAAAAATTCTGCTTCCCCACTTAGGGACCATTGAGGTTTGAGGAGTTATAGCGTAGTTCTATCCATATTACACTAGAGTAGCTTTTTGCACTTGTTTTTATGTACTGTTTTAAAAGCTAGTAACCATTTCACTCAAGTTTTATCAATTATTAGTAACATTTTATTTCCTCATGTATAACACAGTGACAGAAGTACATATTCCGTCTCATAGCTCCCTTAAGAACTACTGAACTATGAGGCTGGGGATATAGCTCAGCAGCTTAAGTGCCTACCTGGCAAGCTTGAGATCATGAGTTCAATTCCCTGTACCAAAAAAAAAAAACAAAGTAAAAAACAAACAAAGAAAAAAACTACTGAACTATTAAGCAGACGTCATTTTAAAACTATAAAATGTGACCCTGTTGCCCTGTGATACAGTTTATTTTCATGAGTTAACATGTTCTCACTGGCTTAAACTACAGTGATATAAGCATTACTATCCCGTCAGACAGCTTGTACCACTGGGGGTACAAATTATTTAATTTTATTGGTCTTTTTACTAATGAAGCTAATAAGTCTGTAAATGGACCAGATCTAGTTAGTTGAATTTGAGTAATTACTGCCCAAGTAAATATTAATGCTATTCATACCAATTAAAATTATAATAACCCCCTATTTATTTCATTAAACTAAAAGAAATTTACTTAAATTTGTGAATTTTTAAACGTTTTGTATAGAAAGGCTACTGATTTGTGCAGTGTGCAAAATGTCACAACTTGGGACAAATCCACAGCCTTATGCATACTGGGAGTGTTGTACCACTGACTTACTTACCCCCACCCCCAGTTTGTTCTTTTCCACAATTATGTGGTCAGTTATAGTTAATTTACCTTTCTATGTAAGTTTTAGAGCTTGTTTTTTAAATACATGTAGAAGATTGTGCTGACGTTGTGTTTTGCACATCATTTCTGTATCAGATCTTCCATATACACAGTGTGTATATGCATGAGAGCACATGTAGTTTCAGTGCTGGTAGAGAATGCCAAGTTGTTCCCTTAAAAGGCTCCAGGTAATGCTCTCAGTAAGAATGAATTAGTAGTGTTTCCCCATATCTTCACCAGTGTAGGATATTCTTAATCTTTTTCTCCAACCTGGTAAAAAAAAAAACTATATACTGGATCATTATTTTAATTTATATTTCCTGAAGTACTTTGTGAAGTTGAACTTTTTCTTTCTTGGGCAGTTTATTATGTGAATTGCCTTTACCCATGTTGTAAGTGGGTTTTTCTTCCCAGACTGATCTGTATGAGAACTTCACTTTTTATGAGTATTAATGTTTTGTTCATGATATGACTATTTCCTCCAGCCTGTCCCGTTTGAATAATTGTTTGGTAGTGTCATTAAATAAAATAGGGACTAGGGCCAGGGATATAGCTCAGCGGCACAGCACCTTGCTTGGCTAGCACAAGGTCCTGAGTTCAATTCCTGGTACCAAAAAAATAAAACATAAAAAATAAAATAAAATAGGGACTAGAGGAAGAGCAGCTTCAGGAGGAGACACTAGAAAGGTAAAAAAATTCCATTTAGATATGACTACCAAAAATTAGGTAGAGAGAAGTGATACTGATGGGGGATGGAGTGATGGGCCACATTTATTCTCTTCACTCCTTGGATAACACTATCCCATCATAAATCTGTGCACTTAAATCAATCTTATCATGTTCAGAATTCCATGATAAAATTGTTTTCTCTGACCTCCCTATTTTGATTTTCATTTTACCATCTTATTATTTAAGCTAACTTAAAAGTGTGAAAAGAAAAACTCTGTAAAGAAGGGAGAAGGCCATAAATAATTTGAGAGAATTGTCAGCAGTTATTGAGGGCCATCTGTTTATTTCCAGTGCCAAGGATGCATAGGGTGGATGTGGAGTAGATGTTGAATGAATGCCATTGTCTACAAAGAGCCCGAGAACAGTTCTTTCCAAAAATGGAAAGTCAGAGAGTTTGGACTATCTACTTCATGATTTATCCTCACAAAAAGAAAGAACAAGTCTCTGTTTCTCATTTCTTTATGTCCTTATTCTGGAAACTGTAGCTTGCAAACCACACTGGATACATTAAGGTCGACTGGCAGCGAGTAGAGACAGACATGAAAAAAGCCAAAGAGCAGCTGAAGATTCGCAAGAGCAACCAGATAACAACCGAGGTCAAGAGCAAAGCTGAGGAGGTGAGGCTTATTTTGTTCCCATGCAGTGTGTGAAGGGTTACAGACAGAATCTGTATGAAGTAGACACACCAATATCTCAGCAGTGGACAAGGTTAAAGATTACAAAGAACTGGGAATAATAAGATAAAAGCTATACTGTACAGGTCAGCCTTGGTTGAAACAACTAATTTAGAGGCTTTTTTTAAAGCTGCATAAATGAAGCATTTGGTGGCCTTTGTCAGTGAGTATACAAAGTGATACAGATAGTTCTGTAGTTAACTAGTTCTTGCAGGATGGGGGTACCACCATGGGAGGAAGTAAGTCCTACTGCCCGTATGATCATCTTTTTTGTCTCCAAGCCCACTGCTTTCTAAAGCATCCACATTCTGCTTGTTCTACACATAACTAGTAGGACTGTCTAGCTGAGGGGATGGCAAACTTCTGTAAAGGGCCAGATGGTAAATATTTTCAGCTTTGTACGCCATACGGTCTCTGTCATAACTACTCAACTCTACCATATAAAATGAAGATAGCCAGAGATGATGTATAAACAAGTGGGTGTGGCTATGTTTCTGTAAAACTTTATTTAAAAGCAGATAGCAGGAGCACAAGTCCAGGTTAGGTTATATTGGCTAGCATTGAAGGGACAGGAAACCTCTGTACTTTGCTACTTTATTACCTTAAGAAACGTTAAATAGAAAGAGGTAGCCCGGCCCCATCTTTCCCGGAGGTGGTTTACTGAGCCTCGGTCCTCCCTGGGCCGGCTGCTGAGGGGGCCCAGCCTAGGAGGACATCGAGGCTGAGGTATAGTCCTATGGAGCCCTCAGATTCACCTATAGGATTATTCTGCTGCCATCATGTCTTGGTTAGTTGATCTCGCTGGAAAGGCAGAAGATCTTTTAAGCCGTGTTGATCAAGGGGCTGCAACAGCTCTCAGTAGAAGAGAGAACACCACCAGCAAAATTGCTGACTATCTTGAACTACATCAGCAAAATACAGATTTGACTTATCAGACTGGACCTAAAGCTACTTACATTTCCTCAGCAGCTGACAGCATTTGAAATCAAAAAGCTACCATCTTAGCTGGCCCTGCAAACATGAAAGTAGGATCTGGGATACCCAGGAAGGCTTCCCGTCCTGTTGAAAATGCACCTGTTTTGAGGCCTTCATCCCAGTTTGTTGGAAGGAAAAAGTCAGAACCTGATGATGAGCGGCTATTTGATTTTCTTAATAGTTCACAGAAAGAACCCACTGGGAGGGTGGAGCTCAAGAAAGAAAAGGGCAAAGCACCTGTCCTTCTAAGTTCTTGGACATCAAATATCAGTTCTGTGAACACCAGTGTCACCACCATCAAAGCCAATGAAGGAAATTCTGGAAGCCAAAGCCATGATGCTGCAAATAATTCACATCCTAACCCTGGAGGCCAAGAGGATTCTTCAAAGGAAAACACATCCTCTAATGTTGCTATTCACACTGATCACAACCCAGCACCTAGTGACAGTGGCAAATCACATGAACTGTCTAATCTCCGGCTGGAGAATCAGTTGCTGAGGAATGAAGTTCAGTCTTTAAATCAGGAAATAGCCTCATCCCTTCAAAGAGTCAAAGAAACTCTAGAAGAATTAAACAAAGCAAGAGCAAGAGTTGAAAAATGGAATGTTGACCAAAGAGTGATCAAATAACTCGAGAACTCAGAGGCCAAGTCGATGACCTGACGGAAGCAGTGGCTACAAGGGATTCTCAGCTGGCTGTACTGAAAGTGAGTCTCCAGGAGGCCGACCAGCTGCTTAGCACTCGCACAGAAGCTCTAGAAGCCCTGCAGAGTGAGAAGTCACGAATAATGCAGGATCATAGTGAAGGGAGTAGCCTACAGAATCAGGCTCTGCAAACTGTTCAGGAGAGACTATATGAAGCAGATACCACTTTGAAGAGAGAGCAAGAAAACTACAAACGTGCAGATTGTGTGCTGCACACACCTTAATAAAATGGAAATGGAATGGGAGAACTTGGCAGAAAGTTACTCCTGCAGATAGAAAATAGTCTGACGAGAAGAGGAGAGTTGATGAACTGTACCAGTAAGTCAAGCTGCACAAGTTGGAGTCTTTTAAGCAGGAATTAATTGCCTGTAAGCAAAAGGCCACTAGAATACACCAATCTAAAGAGAAATTGATTAACAGCTTAAAGGAAGACTCTGGTTTTGAAGGCTTAGGTAGCAGCACTACTAATACCAGGGAGCCAGAAGAGCTTCACCGTGAGAGGGACATGCAGAGGGAAGAAATACAGAAGCTGATGGGCCAGATACATCAGCTCAGGTCTGAGCTGCAGGATATGGAGGCTCAGCAGGTTAGTGAAGCAGAATCACCAAGAGAACAGTTGATCTACAAGATCAGATAGCTGGGCAGAAAAGCATCTAAACAAGAGCTAGAGGCAGAATTGAACCCACTGAAGCAAGAATTCCACTACATAGAAGATGATCTGTATTGAACAGAGAACACATTGCAAAGCAGAATTAAAGATCAAGAGGAAGAAATTTAAAAACTCAGGAATCAGCTCACCAACAAAACACTAAGTGACAGCAGTCAGTCGGAGCTAGAAAGCCAGCTGCATCAGTTGACAGACACCCTCATCCAGAAGCAGACCATGCTGGAGAGCCAGAGCACAGAGAAGAACTCTGGTCTTCTAGCTAGAGCGCCTTGAGCAGCAGATGAGCTCTGCCTCTGTGAGCACCAGCAATAGGTCCTCGATTAACCTGTCTGCAGTTGACACTGGCAAAGGCACATGTCAGTGAAATGTTCCCGTTCCTTTTAATGACTCAGAAACTAATCTGGCAGGAATGTATGGAAAAGTTCGCAAAGCTGCGAGTTGCACTGACCAATTTAGTACTTGTCCGGGAATTTTTCTTCAAAGATACGCCATAGCATGAGTGTTTGTAATTACCGATATGGCTTTGCTTCACCTCTGGGTCATGATTATTCTGTTGACCTATTCACCATAAATGCACCATCACCAGCCATACAGCAAATGAACTGAGCCAGTTGTTTGAGTGATTGGTTGTCTTCTTTTGGACCTGGGATCTGCAATAAGGCCATTTTCCTAGAACTGCTAAGAAGGATGCACAGGATTATTTTCTCACTACAAGCTTTTAACTTTTTAAGTTATTGTATAAGTTTTCTGCTACCTAAATCTTCCTCTTGCTTCCTTCAAATGGTAGGAGTTTCTCAAACTAACAACAATTTAACAAGCCCAGCTCTGCTTTTTCTGAGTTCAGTGGTCCTAATATATATAGAGAAAGAGGTACTAGAGTTGTTCACTTCTGTACAGATGTTCTCGTATTTTAGGTGACACTGATTATGGATTATAATCAGGGAAAAGAATTGTATTAGTGATAAAAAATAACTTTTCTTTTTTGATAATTCAGTCTGCTTTTATATTTTCCTATATTTAACCTTGTGAATGGAGATTTACTTTTTACATGTTAAAGGCCAGACTAGTGTAGATCTTTTTATATAATACATAAATAAAATTGAAAAAAAAAAAGAAAAAAAACATGTTAAATGTCCCAACGAAATAAGTACACTGAACTGGGGAAAAATAAACTGGGATTGGGATGTCAAGAAGGTCACTGGGCCCTTTTATTCCCTGAATAGTGACATTCTCCCACTAGTTCCATTTCATGGGGGAAAAGGAACAGATTTAGTGCAGAGGAAGAAAATACCCTGTATCCACCTGAGGATTATTGTATACTGAGTGGCCTGTCCTGCTAGGCACTGGGGACTTAAGGAGGTAATCATACTAGTAGCAGTGACAGGAAACTGTCATATAAAGTGGAATAGTAGAAGATGAGGTGCTTAGCTTAAACATGGCAGATAAACACATGTATTTTTCTCTACTTCTGAAGTATTTCTTAAAGATGGTAACAAAGTAAGAAAAAGAAAGTTCAAACTCACAAGGACCAAGAGAACAGGAGATGAACACTAGTACACAAGAGATGTGAGCAAGTTGTAGAAGTTGGAAAACAGATAGTTGAATGGTAAATGACTTAGCAAAATAGAAAAATTCTGAGCAGAAGCCTCAGCAAGCCAGGTGCAAGGTGACAGCCCCTGTATGGTGGCAAGCTGTTTGCCAAAGGTAGTGCTGTTATCCATTGCGGGGGATCATACAACCTGTTTTCTGGTTGGTTGGTTTTTTTTGTTTTTTTTTTTTTTTGTCTTAAGACAGGGTCTCACTATGCAGTTCAGGCTGGCCTTGAGCTCTCTTTGTAGCTCAGGCTGGTCTTGAACTCACAGCAGTCCTCCTGCCTCAGCCTCCTGAGTGCTGGGATTACAAGTGTGTGCCACCATCCCCAGCTCTAGTACCTGTTTTCTGACTTGGAAAATAGAACGAACATGTTAAGTTCATTATTTAGCAACAAAGTAACTTTAATGGGAACAGTTTTAGTAGTGGACTTGAATGACAAAGTAGACAATTGAAGAATGAATAGGAAGAAAATAAAAATGAATACGGTTATTTCAAAGAAGGTGGAGCCTTTTTTCTTTTCCTCTGGTGGTAGAGTCCCCGTTTATTTAGGGAAATGTGGAGGTCCAGGGGACTTAGGGGCAGGAGTGGCAGTGAGGTTTGAAGATTCAAGGAGGCTGGGGGTGGCAAAGTGATGGGGAATTCAGTGTCAGTAGCTTACCATGGGCAGGCGATGAAGTCACTGTACTTGAGTTGAGGGGATAATAAGGCCAGGATGCTTAAAGGGTGCGGAGTGTACCCTCTGAGCCTCAGATGAGCAGGAACTTTACAGGAGAGAAGGGAGATGGTAAGCTTTGTAGTTTAAGGAAATGAGGACATTGCTTATTAATCATCAGTAATAGAGATGAATCCTGATGTTAACATCCTTTGCAAAATAACCCATTTGTTAAATCTTCTGTTTCTAGGTTGTGTCATTTGTGAAGAAGAACGTTGTAGTGACTGGAGGATTTTTTGGAGGCTTTCTGCTCGGTATGGCATCCTAAGGAGGACGACTGTACTTCCGTTTTCTGGTTTTCTCCAGCCAGCAGCCAGCCTCTACACTCCATCATAGAGCATCAAGTGTCTCCCTCCTCTTCTCCTGTGCCTTCCTCCCTGTCATGACAGATCTGAATGGCTTCTCTTGGCATCTGTTGGTACAAGTTAATACTGGCCCTACCATATGCTGAAAAGTGACGGAAGAGACATTAGATGTTAGCTCTCCTCCCTGTACACTCCCCGCTTGGCCAGCTCTGGGTCAGCAAGAATGTTCCTTTTCCCCTTTAAGATACCGGAACACACTGCAAGATTGTTCACCATGGAGGGTGTTAGGGCCCTCAAAGAAGCACATAGTTACCTTATTGTGTGCTGCATGGAAAGGAACTGAATACATTTGCCTTTAAGCAATCCACGATTTTGGTATCTTGGTGTGTACTTTCTTTTTTAGTTGGTTTTAGATTACAGGAAGAGAGCTATTTATACCAGCTATAATTATCCTGGCAAAAATGGCAGCCCACGAACTATAACTGATAAAATCTGAATATGAAATGAACTTAGGCTAAAGGTACATGCATATTGAAGATACTGTATTTAATAGAAAAGTCTAGGGAAATCACCTGCTAGAAATCCATTTCCAAATGGTTAGGGATGACTGTTGTTCAGGAATGTTTTCTATCACACTGGATAACACGTCATGGCTATTTCTAAAGGGTTTATTTATAGTAAAACAAATATTTCGGTGGGAGAAGAAAGAAGTGTCTTGTATTATTTCATAGAAAAGGTTTTACGCTGAGCATAGTGACACATGCCTGTAATCCCAGCTACTTGGGAGGCTGATTTAGGAGGACAGCAAGTTCAAGGCCAACCTGGGCAATTCAGAGACCCTCTCTCAAAAGTTTAAAAAAAACTGGGGATGTAGTGTTAGGACACTTGGCTGGGGATTTGTTAGGCCCTGGTTCAGTCCCTAGCACTGAAAAAAAAAAGATTTGAAATATAAAATATTCTTTACATCTCTCGAAACTTTAGGGGTAGCCACAGCTTCTGTGTGCCAGTTCTGTTTCTTTATCCAGTTACTACAAGATGCATCATTTAAACCAGAATTTGAAAGAAGTAGCATTCCAGGCATTTAGGATTGAGAAATAACGATGGTACAATATATGTGGAATAAATTTCCATCAAGTGCAATCTGCTGTCTCATGATGACCTCCAACTCTCAGAATTATTCTTTCAAATAAAAATTGATATATACACATTTAGAGTCTTAACACATTTACTGTAACCCCCAACTAGAATATCAGTTTCCAGAGGGCAAGGCTTCTGTTGTCTTCAACTATTATACTCCCAGTGTCTCGCACTTAATGGGGTTCTGAGTATTTGTTGAATATGTGGATAATGATGTTGTGAACTTATATAATTTTACTCAGTTCTTAAACCTCCAGGTGATTCCATGTAAAATATTTGTGTTTCTAATCTCGTAATTTAAAATGTTTCTTTTAAGCTGTCTTGAAAAGGATGTATTGAATCTAAAAATGGAAGCAACTGGTACATGCATAGAACTTTATAGAACTCACCTATCTGCATTTCCTCATTACATCTGAATAACATTTAAGGCAACATAACCTATTTGGCTTGTAATATGTATGAATCATCCCCAAATCATGATGTTCTCCGCCTCTTTACTACATATTTTTTTCCTGTGAGTCATCCCCAAATCATAATTTTTTGGTATCGGGAATCAAATTCAGGGTCTTATGTTTGCCAGGCAGGCGCTGTGCCACTGAGCTACTTCCTGGCCGTCCAAATCATAATGTTAAGAGCTTCTCTACTACATATTTTTTCCAAGAATTTTTTAAAAATTATTGTTGCTTTTTATTACAGAAATTTTGAAACATGTGAAGGTAGAGAATATACCACAGTAACTCCCCATGTGTCCCTTACCCACTTACAACAATCATAAAATCTTAGTTACACTTGTTTTATCAATTACTGTGAAACAAATCCCAAAGAATCAGGGGCTGGGGATTTAGCTCAGCGGCAAAGCGCCTGCCTCGCAAGCGCAACGTCGTGAGTTCGGTTCCCGGTACCGGAGAAAAACCAAAAAAAAAAAAAAAAAAAAAAACCCAAAGAATCATTTTATCACATTGTGGTATGTGTTGCTGCAGGTTGAGTACTTCTTTTAAAGATCATAAGAACAGTACCTTCTTAAACCAAAAGTAGAATTCTTTGTCATTGAATATGTGGTCCTTGTGAAACATTTCCTTACCTCAAGTGGTACACATTTATTTTGTTTGAATCAAAACCCATACGAGGGCCATACAACATTTGGGTCATCTGAGTGTTTTAATCCTATAGGTCTTTTTTTTTTTTTTTAAACTTGCAACATACTTACGGATGACAGTTTCCTATTTCCCCATATCTTCCCGAGGCCTGGGACTCTGGGTTATATAATTTACGGTGGTCATGGCTGTAGCCATTGGTAACTGTACCTTTGACCTAACCCCTATGGAATGGTGACAGCAAAACAACAAAAACAGCCAAACATGGTGGCACAACTGTCATCCAAGCACTCAGGAGGCTGAGGCAGAAGGGTCACTGTGATTTCTATGCCAAGGTGGGCTACATAGTGAGTTCAAGGCCAGCCTGAACTACATAGCAAGATGTTTGGGGGGGACCTAAAAGAAGTGTCCTTTTGGGCTGCATAGAGGGGGATGGCCACCAAAGGCCTCTCCTGTGGGGTGGAGGTTTGCTGCCTTTTACTCCATATCTTTGTGCTTGTTGGTAAGCACAGCAAAAATTAGGTTGACCTAAACTTCCTGGAGGAGGTTGTAGTAAGTCGCACCAGACTCCATACTGGCCTGAAATGAGGTCTGTATGACCTTCCTGCAGTTTATTCCTAGCTGGCAGCTGTTGAGAACGTGAAGGACCTAGCGAGGTCCATTTTGTGCGCTGGTCTCATGCTGATACTACACAGTTTAGTTTAGCTGAACCTTCATTGAAGTACTTTTGGGCTTTAGGGAGACTAAGCTGAAGCCTCATGCCAATGGCCTTGTTTCAGGTAAAGTAGTTGATTGACCTTGAGCTTTGTATGCACGGTCCGGAGAAACTGCTTAGCATGTGTTCAAGGTTGCGGCGCCCCCTGCTGGTGGGTAGTGGTGACACTGCCCTCACAGCTACTTGTAAGCTCCACAGTGGAAGAGACCTACATTACCCAAAGCTATGTAGCAGGAATTTATGCAGTCTTTTCCTTCTCCTGCAGTCGGCAGTGCCTTCCCAGGGCTCTTGTGTCCTTTCCTGGGCCACTGAGGCTGCACCCTGCATGCTTGTCACTTTGAGCAACCCTTTGAGCCAGCGATGCAGTCAGATGAATCTGTTCTCCCTTGGGTCCTGAAAGTGAGTAAAGTGTGCAAGAGAGTTACGTTTCCTGCTGGGCATCAATAGATGGGCTCCGGTGTTTCCAATCTCTCCAAGACTCGGTGTCCTCGTTGCTGACCCTAACCTCATGAATACCACTGTCATTGTGCTAATGTGCCAACCAAATTCCTCCACCCAGGTGGCCCCTTAGTTGCTCAGCCCACCCAGCCTGTCACTTGTGGGAGAGCCCTTGCTGTGTGACTGATACGGGTAGTTACTACACAGATTCTAGGAAATGACCAGATGTGATTTTTTGTAGTATTTATAATTTTTTGTTTTTTGTTTTTTTGGGACAGGGTCTCACTATGTACTTCAGGCCTTGAACTCATATCCCAGGCTGGCTTTCAACTTGCAGCAATCCTCCTGCCTCAGCCTCCCAAGGGCTGCTGGGATTATGGGTGTGCACCACCACACCCGGCTCAGGTGTGATTCTCGTAAGAGTCTGGGTTCTATGAGGAATGAGCTCTGCATGATTCTACTTAACATGCTCCTGGGGCAGGTGCTTGTGGTTTCCAAAGGCAGAGATCTGTGTATTGACTCTTACAGTGCTCTCTCCATCATCCTTTTGTTTGATGTGTGCCAGAAAAGTGGGCCTAACTAGTGGCTGAGCACTTATTTGAAAATTTTACTTTTGTACATGTTAGGAGAATACAGTCAGTCTTTGCTTAGAAAAATGGTATAATGATGGATTTACAATTTCTGAGTATTATCAGTGTTTGGGAAGGTCCAAAATTCCAGCCCCATAGGAAAATGAGAATACTGCCCCCTGCTCCCTCCACCAAATTATCAGCTTCATTTCTCCACTTTAAAATGGGGGGTGAATGCCTGGTGTGGTGACACATGCCTGTAATCCCAGCATTTGAAAGGCTGAGGCAGGAGGATCCAATGTTTGAGGTCAGTCTGGCCTACATAGCGAGTTCAAGGCCAGCCTAAACTGCATAGGGAGGTGCTGTCTCAAAAAAACAAAAATCAAATGGATGAAAACATAACTTCTCACCCATTAAGAGTTCTTTCTTGAAGACTGAGTTTCAGTGCTAATCTCAATCCATGTTAAATGAAAAGCACTTGGCAAATGTTAGCCTTCTCTGATGTCTGTCTCATTTTTCTATGGATTATAGTAGCTAAGGAGAGTAAGGTTTAGATGATTGTCTCTCAAGAGACCTGTTGACAAACTGAGGGCAGTTTAAAGGAAGGAACAATTGATTTGAAGCTTTTGAACTCGAAGTTTGTACCTTACGAAAAACCATATAAAACAGCCTAAAACACAGTAAAATTAATTTTGTAATAAAAATAACCTATTTGATTTTATAATTCTAATGTAAATCCCACCACTATCCATTAATTTAAGTAATTTAGATTCAGAGATGGTATAAACAGTTGTAAAATACCTTATTAAATTGTTTTACTATTAACACAAGGGTTCCTTTAAATTATTTCATGGGAATTTAGCACTGTTAACTCTGGTTTGTGGACCGGTGTCCTCAAGGCAGTATTTCTCCAAGTCTTAGGAAAACAGTCTTTCTTGTCTGCAAAAATAGGTTCACTTGGCAATATACTCTTTTCCAAAGAAATAATTTACATTAGCATACAAAAAACTAAAGCGTGACAAGAAAGTAACCTGTTTACTTACGCCTAGCCAGCACTCTCCAAATACCTGACCACAGAAGCCCCCCTTTTGCATATTTAAACAATTCCTAGAAACTGGGGAATACTGCCTCAAACAATAATGGTATTTGGACATGAAGGACTTATCAGAATTTCTCTTGCTTTCATTCTGATAGTCATCTTTTAGAAAAAGGTATCTTTCATTTATTCAAAAGTCATCTTTTTCTTCTGGGGAGGAGGGGCAGTGATAGATCTAGCACCTGTTGGAGGAAAGCAAATGGCCATAAAGTAGCTGCAAACTTCCAACAAGCTTCCCTCAGCATCTCTGTAGTAGTATCTGAATCTACTGTAACAGCTTTTGATTATAATAAGGACATGAAGAATAGATAGACCACTTAACATTTCATTCTATTGCTGCTTATCTGACTTCCAATCTTTACAATAAGGGATCACCAAACATTACGAGAATCATTTATATGCCTTTCCTACCACCGACAACAAAAATTAAGCAGCTTCTGGCTAGGTACTGTGATGGGAATGTAAAACAGAAAGAAATGCTCTAGAAGGATACTTTGCATTACTGGAAGTACATCAGGTATGGAGTTGGGCTAAAGAAGTTTTGATTTAATTTAGCATCTAATCTAGGAAGGGAAACATGAATCTTCAACTAACATGCCTCCATGACTTAAGTTTTATGAATGGCACCAGTGGTGAACTCAAGTGCTAAAGAGAATTCCTTAATAGTTGTATCTAATAGCTTTAAAATAGAGTACCAAACCAAAAATCTTCATTTAAACAGCTTTATTTTAGCAGCTCAGTTTTTACATTCTACATATTTTTCTTTTAATACATTTCTGTTTCTGTATTCTGCATAGATGGCATATTCATTAACTCTTGTAGTTGACTTTTTCATTTGCTATTTGCTGCTACCTGGCCTGAAAGAAGTCAGGAGGATAAACAAAATGTTCTTGGTGGAAATGAAACAGCATTTAACTTCTCAGCAGAACTTCACTCTGATGGAGTCTTCAGTGTCAGCTTTTCTTCTTTTTCAAATCCTGAGCAGACAGGAGATCTTCCCTTGGGATATTGAGCACAACACTTACGCAGTGCTTGAATGACAGCTTGACACTTTGATTCCATGTAATTGTTGGCTGAAAAACAGGTAGACTCTAGTCATGATCTCTTCAGACTAAGTGTACAGCGAGGTTTAGATCAGCACTTTCTACCCCTTTTTATTTTTAATACCTATGAAACGAAGCAAAGAGGTATAGTCAAGGCCACTGGATTCTTTCTCAGACCTGTCAACAGGTCACTTAGGAAGAAAAGTATAATTTACAAAGTAATTGCTGGGCATGGTGGTGCACGCCTGTAATCCCAGCACTCAGGAGGCTGAGGCAGGAGGATCTTTGCGGGCCTGGGCTACAAAGTGAGCTCATGGCCGGCCTGAACTGCACAGTGAGACCCTATCTCAAAAAGAAAAAAAAAAAAAAAAAAAAAAAACCAAGTAGTTGAAGACTATTTTAATATATACTTTCATTTTCTTTTAAGGTTATGTTAATAGCCTATTTGTCTTTTTAAAATGGGTCACTGATCCCTTTTGGTAATTTGATAAATTAGAAAAATGCACAGAATTCACATATGTAAGAATAATTTGGTTTTTATAAAAGCACTGAATATACAACAAAGACCTTGCAACTTTCACATCCTAAAATATCACCTGTTTGGCCCTTTACCGAAAACATGTGCAGCAGATTCCAGGGGATCTGAGGGGGTGCATGGGAATTAGCCATACCTCTCAATAGTTTTGGGACTCTGGCCAAGTTATATAACTTCTGTCTATTTTTCTGTCTATAAAATGGTGGCCATACTAGCTTCTACCTCATGGATAAAAAGATTAAATGTGGCTGGGCATGGTGCTGCATGCCTGTAATCCCAGCACTCGGGAGGCTGAGGCAGGAGAATCATTGCGAGTTTGAGGCCAGCCTGAACTGCATAGTGAGACCCTGTCTCAAAAAGACCAAAAAAAGATTAAGTGTGTAAAGCCTTCGTCATCTACTAAGTATTGTCTTTCCAATTTTCAAACCTTTCACACTGTACCAGCTCATTTTATTTTGATTTATTCCCCTTTAGCTGTCAGTTGCTACTTCAAGTAAGATAAGGTTTTATTTTGAAGAAAATAAATGCAAAAAAAAAGTTTTCCTTGGAGCTGGGGATTTAGCTCAGCGGCACGGCACCTGCCTGGCAAGCGCAAGGTCGTGAGTTCGATTCCCGGTACCGGAAAAAAACAAAAACAAACAAACAAAAAAAGTTTTCCTTTTTTTTAAAGGGAAGAAGGATAAAACTGAAGTATTAAATGTGTTTTAGAATAAATTTTATAAAATATTGTTTACATCATAAAATGAAGAATGAAAGTTACATCAAATGAAATACACAAAGGTTTTCTCTGGTGGTAGGTAAATATCTGGAGGAACCTTGACCATTTTTCCTTTACACCTTTCTTTATTTTCATGAATACCCACCTTTATTACTTTAATAATAAAAAAGCAAAAAGCCACTTTTCACAATATAATGATGTTATTTACTTTTCTGGCAATGATTATTTGCTGATTAAAAAATAGTCCTCTAATATTTGGTCAAACTTAGCTTATTTAAAGCCTAATGGATAAATCACATCAAATATGCTTTAATTGAAATTTACTTTTGCCATTTAGTTGCTGACTGTGGCAACAAATTCCGCTTGCACTTTTATTTTTTTGGTACCAGGAATTGAACTCAGGACGTTGTGCTTGCCAGGCAGGAGCTTATGCCACTGAGCTATATCCCCAGCCCCTCCACTTGCACTTTCAACCCGCTCCTACCAGATTGCTTTTAAAAAGTAAGCTGTCAGCTGCAGTGAAGACTGCTGTTACGGTTTGTGTCTGGATGTCCCCGCAAAGCCTCATGCAGTCTTGGGGCGGGCTGCTAGAGTTTATGACTGATCTGTGGTCCAATGCAGGTATTATGGGTGTGAGCGCTACACCTACCCTGGGGCGGGCAGCCTGCACACAATATAAGGGAGGGAAAGAGGCTTGCTCTTGCTTTACCTCCCTTTTTGCTCTTGTTGCTTTTGCTGTTTTCTGCCACCATGAACTGTTGCTCTCTGCCATGTGCCACTCTGCCTTGGAGCCAGCCAAACATGGACCGGAACCGCCACAAACTGAGCTAACTAAACATTTCCTTCCTTAATTCTGGGCATCAGGTATTTTGTTTCAGCCAATGAGAAAAGTAACCAAGACACTACTTTGTTTGGTTTTGGCAGTGCTAGGGATCAAATCCAGGGCCTTGAGCATGCTGGGTAATTATTTTACCAAGGAGCTTCATCCCCAGCCCCTGAAGACTAATTTTAAAACTAGACCTTTTTTATAAAGGGACCTGATCAGTTTAGCAATTCTCAACTTGGCTATGCAATGAAATCATTAGCTTTCTTGAATGACACTAGCCCTAGGAAATCTGATTTAATTGTTCTAGGCAACTCTCCAGGTGATTCTAATGTACAACTAAGATTGAGAAAATCTGGCTTAGATCACATTACTTTTTATTTCTATCTTTGATGTTACAATGGGAGAAGTCATCAGGATAAATTACAGAAATGTTAGAAAAGAATGTAAGTTGCTGATAAAAGAATAATTAGCCTTATATAGTAGTTCACAGGTAAAGTTGAGATGTATTTAAAAAGCATGTTACATACTACCTTGTAAACATTTCTGTATTTCACAGGCTTGTTTCTGGCACGGATCCTTTTGTGGCATATCCAGAAATCTAAAACAAGAAAAATGATTATTTTGCTTTTTTTCATAAACACTATAAAGCCTCACTGCATGGAATTTTCTTCTGAGACAAGTAGTGTACCCTTACAAATGCTGGAAAATAATTACACTAAAAGTATTCTTCCCATGTATATGATGAACCAACTGTATTTTCATAATATCCATTTCATTACGTTTGGAAGATATAGATTTACATGAGACAAAAAACCTTAATCTACTCATCTTGAACATTGTAAAGTACTGTTGAGCTACAGGAGCTGATGCTGCCACTCACGGGGTCTGGCCCACTCTCCAGGTCTATGACTCATGGGGAAACTTGGTAAATGATTCAATTCCTTGAGCCTTTTTTCTTTACCATTCATGTATAAAACGTGAGTGATACCTACCTGGAAGCCTTGAAGGAAGGACTAAATGTGAAAAAAGTATATAGAGTATGTAGTACAGTGCCTAGAAGGCAGTAAGGACTCGATACATGGTAGCTGTTATTCTCAAGACATTTTTAAATGAGGTCTTACTATATGTTATCCAGGCTGGCCCAGGACATGGGGGCTCAATCAATACTCTTACTTCAGCCTCCCAAGTAGCTAGGAATACCACGCCTAGCTTGACTTGTTTTAAAAAGTAAAAGCTTGTTTTAATGTATATAAACTTATGGTTAACTCAGAAAATCCTTCACAGGTAGTAAATGCTTTCCTAGGAATCAACAACATTTGGTGCTATTACTTCTTGAGAAAGGTGCCAGGTAAACGGCGAAAATAATTTTTGGAGCTGTTATGAAAACCAGATTATTTGAAGTGTTGTTACCAGAGAAGAAATTTAAGTGTTCACAATTTTGATCAGCAACTTCTAATAATCTGAAGACACATTTTCAGGAAGAAAAGAGGCCTAGGGGCCTTTGTAACGGATTTCAGCAATACAAATAACCCTTTCCCCCTGCTAACCCCCTAAATTCTCAATAGATCCAAATTAGGTCAGTACTGGGATGGGAAACACTGGAGCAAAACCTAGGATATTTACAGGGTGAGAGAAGGAAAGGCAGGTGAATTTCTGCAGGGCAAATAAATGACAAATAGATGTTGATGCTTCTAGGAGCTGCTCTCTTCTCTCTAAATCAGTACCAAGTCCTTGGTGATCAGGGCATCTGTTCTGTAGCACGTGCTGACTTTTGTGGGATTCATCAAACCCCAGTTCCAGCTGGTGATGTCCATTAAAGGTTCTATGGCAATTTCCAAAGGAGTCAACTTCAAGTTATGTATCCTGACTAAGTGCCTTTGTTGACTCACTTTCTGCCTGTGTAACTCTCTCTGCAGTGTCACTTGCAGTGTTCTTCATGACCCTTCCTAAACATCTATGTTCTCGAGCAGTTTTTCAACCCACTCCCTCCCCCCAGGCCCAAGAGTGGGTGCACTGCAGTGGTGGATGAAGAGATTGCCATATACTGAACAGAACAGAGGAGCATATCTTCCTAGAATCCCAGCACCTGGAAAAAAAAATCATTAAAATCACCACAACTGAATAGAGTGAAAATAAAGAATGGAGTAAAGAGGAGAAATAGAAATACATACCAGGTTAATCATCAGGCAAAAGCTTAAGCAACAGCTCCTGTACTCCCCTGACCTGTCAGAAAAATAAAAGTTTATAGAGTACTCTGTTATAAGAGTCCCAATACAATGGAAAATGATTAAGCAACATGTATACCATTAAATGATGCTGTATCTGCCACAAGCGAGAGTTGTTATCCATGTAGCGTTCCTCTGGGTAGAGTTGCCACATGAGAGGTAGCTGGGAAGTAAGAAGGTGACTTGGCCTAGCTGCATCACCTAAGGGAACCTGAACTTGCTGGACTCGTGCCCTTAGGAAACTCGTCTCCTAATGGAAAGCAACGATCAAAAACAAAACCAAAGACTTCAGAATATTGACAATGGACAGAAATCAAGTTACTTGAAAGCAAAATCAAAGAAATAAGCAAAATGAAAAGTTACCTCTTCCACGACGGCCACCCATGTACGCTGGTATTCGTCGCGGTAGATACCCTCTTGGTGAACCCAGAGGTGATCGGGTGGAGCCCCCACATCCTCTCCTGCCATTCTGGGCTTTGGGTTCCAACTTTATCCCTGCTTTTCTCCACCTAAGCCTGCAGCACCCGTGCACAGGACACAGGTGTGACTTTCTGGGTTTGAATGAACTCACCACGGAGCAAAGTGACCTGGGACTAGCAACCACTAACCAGAACCAAAACTCACACACGTCTACTTGTACAGCCTGATTAGAACCAAGGACATCTGAAGCTTTCTACAAGGCTGAAAGCGACAATGAAGTGATACTCCGGCAGAGCCTCAAGGTAATGCTACTGACTACAAAACGCTCAAGGATTCTAGATAAGTTCTGCGGAAGTATGGGACGAGCACTGTGAGAGGCTGGGCATTAGTCTTACCAATTCTTTGCATTCACAGAACAGTGTCTGGCAAAATGTAGTTAGCAATAGAAAACACAGAGGAGCATGCCTAAGGACACACTGTTTTGGCAGGAAGGCAATAAAACAGACACGCATGCCATCTTCCCGAGGTAAAAGCCAATTCTGAGCAGTTCACATTTTTTAAAAAGTAAGATTCTGAGTCATCTGCATGGTTTTCTAAACCGTAATTAAGAATTTAGAGGCAAAAGACCTATTTATCAGTCTACTAAGTAAGGTTTCTTATAGCGGTGAGGCATTTCCAAAAGGGGATTTTCACATGAGGAGAAATATTTAGGGCAGCTTCATGGGATTTCTGAGCTACAAGTGACTGTGGGGGTCATGGTGATTCTAAATTGAGTGAGAGCAAATGATAATTATTCATCTAGATCTCTGTTTCATTTTAATAATGCTGCATGATGTTGCAGGAGCTCATTTTCTCATACAGACATAGGTTTAAATTTTTATTTCCCAGGCCAGAAAAGCCCCTCTGCACTTGACAGGTGTAAAGGAAGCACACTTCTGCCCGGCCCCAAATCTCACAGTAACTTGACATGCACTTTGCATGAATGAATCTTTTGTGTCCTGCTCATGGCCCTGCAGTTTCACATAGTTCTACCTTTCAAAGATACAAACATGCCAAGCAGGGGGTTGTCTCACAAAATACAGGCTGCCTATTCCCATCAGGTAGCCACTGGGTGGGAAAGAGAATGCAGCACATCCAGGGAGGCTGGAATACCCCTCACAGTGAGACTGTGCAGAGCAAACCCGATGCCAGGACCAGGAGACAGAATAGGAAAAAGCAAGCTATAAGTCAAGCAAAGCCAAGTCCTTTTTTCTCAAGGATAACAACCTGAATCTGATTTTTTTTTGTAACTAGTTTGCCTTCCCCAAAAGGAAAGTAGAAAGAAAACCCTTACAGACTTAAGAAGTGGTCTGGTTTTGTGCTCTTAAATTTAAAAGCATCACGTTTGCTTCCGCTGTTCTCCCAAGTGGCCGTGACTCCGAGCATGGCACAGGCACCTGTTTTCACGTGGATGTGCTCTCATTTCAAACTCATCCTTAACCAAAGCCTCTTCTGATTCTGCACACCCAAACCTCAGGAGTTATCTCAGATTTCTTGTTTTTCTTCAGTTGCTACAGCCTATCTATCACCAATTCCAGCAAGAATCACCACTACCCGGGGACAACCTCAGCCCCTTATTCTGGACTTGCGTGTGCCACCACTGAGACAGCATGAAGGCCTCAGGAAGGGAACTACAGTGATCAAGTGGCAGAGAAGTCACCACACGAACGTTGTTGATTAACCACATCCTCAGCAGAGAAAAGAAAAGGCTGAGCAACAGGATTCAAAGTCAAAAACCACAGGTTGTTGAAAGGGACACCATTTCCCTAAATGTGATGATTCACAGAGCACTTGCTCCCAACATTTTTCGTAGTCAAATAAGTTTGGGGATTTTGAGTTATAAAGCATATTAGCATAGCAAAAGTTCTGGCAAGTTGTGCAGCAGAGAAACTTTATGTTAACAATATTTCCTAAATTTATTCAACCAGAGAACATTTTCTTTTGGCATGATACTTGTTCACAAAATTCAGTGCTCCTTGAAGTAAAATGAGTCTCTTAAAAACCTCAAGATAAACTTAGGGACAAGGTGCAATACAACACACATAATATAAACGTATGCAATTCAAGGAATATTACCAGCTGCAAATACAAAGAGATTCCAAAAAATGTTTAGATAACTTTATAGCTGTACCATCCACTGAAAGAGATCGTCCCCACGGGGGTCACCTTGACACCAGAGACCACATTGGCACAAATTCTTTTTAGGCATTTTGAAAATTAGGTTCTAAATAGATGACATACATAGGATTTTGTAGATCACTGAGATAACAATCATTTCTCCTTTACCAAATGAATTATTTTGTCTTCTTAAAAAAGTATGATTTGCTTTAATTTCCAGCTGTTTTGAGTAGTTTTTAAACATTGATCAGTTGAATACACTTACTTTATTTGAAGTCATTTAGTAAATTCATCCAGTTACAAAGGGTGAAGTTGCTGATAACATGGGTTCTGGAATCAGTCTGGCCTGCTTATTAATACTGATTCCAGCACTTACGAGCTTTGTGACCTTGGACAAGTTCACTTTTTTCTACCTCAGTTTCCTGAGGCATAAAATGAGAATTAAAGGACATGTTAATCAATAGTACGCATGAAGCAGTTCTTATGTACTTTACATATGTTTGTAGACATCAACTCATTTATCTGCATGATCTCATGGGGTGCTATTAGGTAGGCACTATTAATACCCCCACTTAAAGTTGAAAAAAAGCAATGCACTAAGAGGTTAGATAATCTGCACATGGTAACTAAGCTAGAATGTTGCAGAGCCTGAGTCCAGTTGGGTCAGTTTGTAAAAAGGTAGCCATTAGCATTATAAAAGTGAATGTCATTCTGGAATATGAGATTAACACCAACAATAAGCTAAAGATGTTTTTCTTCTTGAAAGTGTCTAAAGGAACTTTATAAAATTGAAATATAATGAAAGGGCACAGTAGCCATGAACAGTCCCTGAAAATAAGATGTGACATAAAATCAAAACTTAAGAGATCATTACCGATGGGTCCAATGTACATCTGAAAATTTTCCAGCCTTCCTCATTACCAAAGTTAATCATGGAAAGATGTGCCATGTGATCCTTAAGCATCAGGTAAAAACAGGTTGCTGGCATATACATTACAAATGGTTCCACTGGATTTGAGGCCCTATTTGCCGGGAGACTTGGGTTGGAACTGACTTGGGAGAAAAGAGCAAAGCATCAACACTTCTTGAAGTAGCACCTTGGGTATGTTCCCTTTCCAGTACTGCCATATATGCCTGGCTTAAAACTGCACAGGGAATAGAAAAACAAAGAGAGAAACGCGGATGGGCTGTGCAGGCAGCAAGGCATATATTTTTGTCTGATTTAGAATCGCTCCTAAAATTCTCGTGGAATTCGTCAACTTCTGAGTTGGGAGCTCTGTACGTTTAAGCCTTGGCACGTCGACATACCTTAAATAAAATTACTTTTACATAGAATTTCACCATTTTTGATAGCATCAGGGAAAAAATGAGCTGAGGAAACTCTTCTGGATAGCTGACATAAAGCACCCGAACTTTAAAAGCTGAAGTCCCCCAACTCCCCTTTCTTGTAGCAAACAAATGGGTATCTAAAAGCCCTGCTAGAGAGCAGCAGTAGCCAAGCTCGAGTGATACTTTTTCAGATCCAGTAGAGCACTGTTTCTGCAAAGGTTACTCACATGAATATAATGTTTCTTGGGCTAATTACTCCGCCTCGAGAACAGCTAGGCTAACGCTTCCAGGTCTCCCACCCCGAGCAGCTCAAGCCAGATCG